CCCAGCCACCTGCTGAACAAGAAGCCACCTACACTGAAATGCAGGAGAAAAATGTGGAGCTGAAAACTCTAGTGAACAAAGGTGCTTGAAGTTGTATCCAGATAGACTAGATAACTTGGGGGCAGGGAGGGAAGAGATGGAGTTGGGAAAGAGAGCAAGGTGCATTTACAATGATTTGTGCTTATGTTATCCATCCATGGTTGGGGAGGCATAGACTCCAGTTTCGGAGTCAAGGCTCGGCCTCACCTGAAACAGAGGCATTTCTAGGGGAGTGTGACCCCTCCCCAGGCATTGCAGGGGGTTTTCAAACAACAGTACTGACTGTATAGTTTTGTGGGTCTTGAAAGGGTATTATAATCTCAGGTTCTTGCATGAAATCAAGGGGATGTATGAAAGCAAGTGTACAAGATGCCAGATCTGTCTGAAAAATGACAGAAAAAGGACATAGACCAAGCACTTCAAACTCCAGTAACAAGATGCCTATCATCTTGTGTACACTAGGAAGAATGAAATTTTAGGAACAAACCAAGAGTTTGGGTTGCACCCAAGTGGCGTAGGGTATGTGGGGAATAAGTGAAATTCCAAGAGAGGAAAAGATGTTTACTTCTTTTAGTTGCATAAAAAAAATTTTTGTTCAAATCCTCCATATTAGTTCTTCTCCATTTTGTATATTCTGCTACATTTATTTGTGAAGACTCTGTAAGAATTATTACTAATACTGACTGATATATAACAAATATATTACAGATATATTCTTTGGAGGCAGTTCACTGATTTTATGTTGTCTCTTGAGTTCAGAAGTTTTTACAAAGGCATGATTGTTACTCTTTTCTTCAGGAAGAAAATCTAGCCACAGATTTAATTGAGACAGTGCTCTTCACAAGTCTGCACTACTGAATAAGGGTACAGCTGCTGGTGGTGTAAGATGTATAAAAAATGTACAAATGAAAACTTGGAGCATTATTTACAACAGATGTGGTAACAGTAGCTGTTTAAAATCAGTATAAAGAATAAATATAAGGACAAATAGTGGGAGCTTGGATCAATCACGATTCTACACCCACAGTTTCTGTTCATTATCAACCAGCCAAATACCACATATACCTTTCTGTCGGAGTAAAGGTGACCCTTTAAACAGGTTTCTTGCTGCTATGTTTACATACGCTTTCACAAGATAAAGCACTGCAGTAGAAAAGGCATATCGTCCTAAATGCACTATATAGATTGAAATGCCTCTGTTTGTGTATAAGTGGTGAAAATAAATCAGAGTAATATCTAGACAAAGCTACACTTTGATACATGAAGAATCCTCATGGCTACATGTTTATAGCATGATGAAGTCTAGAATGCCGGCCAAGAAAAATGCATTTTGCAGGTGGGCCTAAATCTTTATGCAGTTGTGATTTTTAACTAACCTGTCTGTTTCCATCATGGGGCCGCTTCATGACCATAAATACAGAAAAGCACTGACAATGTAAGTCATTCCTTAAAAACCATTTTTTTCTAAGTGGCACAGACAGTTTAAAAAGGCTTTACTTACCCCAGACAAGGACAATGTATCTCAGTGGAATGAAATACAGGATGATGGTGAACATGGAGAGGGCAACAATCGCCAGCCAGCTCAGGAATGGGACAGTCCAGTTGAATGTACTAAAAGGAAAATAAATAAAAGACAGAACTTTGGTCACCTGACAGAGCCAATAAAAGACCAAATAATGGGCAGGACGGCAGGATGGGGAAAAGTGCCAGTTTCCATCAGGGAGAACAAACTGAAACTACAAACAAACGCATGGATGCTGGACATCAGGGCGAGCTTGGGCTTGGACACACTTCCAGTAGAAATGAAAGGCGGTCCTGGCTTGACAGCACCTCTCCCCAGCCCAGCTGCACACACTTCCCAGAGGAAGCATTGCTCCGCTTTTTGGAAATGTCAGTGGCCCTCAATTTCAGCATCAGGCAAAACACACATATTTCCTTTCTCCCGAAATGTACTCACACATGCAAGGCAACCCAGATTCCCTCCTTCAATACCAGTGCAGAGGTAGAATATAAGAGTTAGAAGAGTACTGCTAAGGTGTTTTGTTTTACCTCCTCCCTGCTCTACCATGAGGACAGAGCAAGCAGTTAAAAGCTGAGCAGGGGCCTTGCCCTCTGCTTGATGTGCACATGCACTCCCTGGCCAGGAACCCTTCTGTCTTGGGGGGCATGTTCAGGAAAAGGCAAGTGCATGGGTATGCAAAGCTAGAAACTCACCCATGCACCTAAGAAGGAGAGGGATAGGAAAAAGGAGGAGACAGAACAGTCAGTCCTGAAGACAGGGATAATGCAACAGCAGTGGATGAAAGAAGGAAATAAAAACACTTTGGGTGGCAATAAAAAAGGAAGAGAAGGATGGAAGGAGAAAAGTAAAGAAAAGTAAAGTAAAACTTTATTATTCCAGATAGAATCAAATGAAATAAAGATTATTTCTTTATGAATAAAGGAATAGAACTTCTGGGATCCCACCACAGTTTCAGGATATCAGCTTTCCAACCCCACCCCTGTATCAAAACATGCTTAATAAGGGTCCTGAACTTTACACTGTGACAAAAAACCTGCTGATCACCTCACTTTGCAGAAGTTGAGGTGTGGGCAGAGAGGAAGTGAAAGCTAACGAGTCTTGAAACAGCCATACTGTGGCTCTCCAACCTCTGTGTGCAGGGAAAAGACAAAGGCCAGACGGCCAATTTATGTATATGTCTCACGGGAACGCTGGTTAAAGGGAGCTTGGCTCAATGGGATTGTTCTATGAAGGCATCACCATGTCAGAGGTGTTGCATGACATTTATCCAGAAGGAAAATGTGGCTTTGGCTTTAAACAGTCTGATGATACTCTTTAAAGTATTACCACTAGCTACATGCCCAATCAGTGTGATTACATTATTTTGGCTTCTCTGGCTGAATAATTGCAATTATCTGAATTGCTAGCCATATTTTTCATAATGAGCTCTGGCTTCCTGTGTTTATTTGTCTTCTTTTCTCCCCGGCAATTTTGACATGTCTCCAGAGTGAACATTATGTTAGTGTCACTTGGTGTAGGATCACTCCCTTTCTCCTCAGGGGACACCTGCTCTTTTCCCCTCTTCTCCATGCATTTGGGATGAACAGAAGGTTGAGGGTCTGCTCATGTTCCTGTGACTCGGCTTTGTGCAATGGATCACAGACACGCCATGTGTGGGAACACTGGCTCCTCACTTAGCAAACCTCCTTATGTGCTGTGTTAGCACAGCATTCAGTACAGGTTTCCCATTATAGTTTTAGGAACAAATTACAAAGATTTATAAGAAGATTCGGTCTCACTTGGTTTAGAAAATTCTGTTGCTCTCATCTGGTATGTAACAGAACAAACTCTACTTCCAAAATGCACAATTAGGAAAACTTAATCATCAAGACAACTTCCACGGACAGCCTTTTGATAAAAGACTTCTTTCAGAAAGAAGCTCATTTTGCTTGTCTGGAAAACTTGTGCAATACAACGCGCTTGTGCTTGCCTCTGCTCCTGTGAACACAGCCTGCCTGGAAGTGTCCCCATGGGAATGTTTCCCAGCCTTTCCTATGAGAGTCTTGGCTCTTAAATGCATAAATGGCCTCCTCTTCATCCTGATTCCAACATGCTTGCCATTGCTGATAGATTTAAGAAAAAAAAAGGCAGCACAGCATGATAGATGATCCTCCTGTTTCCTGCAAGTTGACCCCCACCCAATGCATCAGTTTCCTAAAATTCACTTCCAAAAGTCAGCACTTATTTTGGGGCTGTACCCCTTGTATAGGCTACGGTCTCATAGGTGTGGAACACCAGTGCACTGCGGATGGCACCCACAGCAGGCGAGACAGGCTCCTTATGGTCCTAGATCACACCCAGAACAAGGGAACACATGGCTTTAACGCTCCTGTAAGATGCGCTGCGTGCATCAGTGGAAGCTTTACAGGAAAGCCGCTTGTGAAGGTTTTCTACCTCAGTGTGGCTCCCAGGTCACCTCTCTGCCTGCCGCCTCTGCCTGCAGCGGAAAGGTGGTTGCGAAGCCACTGCTCCCAACTTCTCATCCAGTGAGGGTTAGATGCTCTCGGCTTTTGCGGGGCAGAAAGCCAAGTCAATCCTCTCCCTGCTTTGCAGCTGGTGGCTGGAAGCCGTCTTTCTGGAAGCCGTCTGATCTCAAATAATAAACCTTACACTGCTGTTCACTGACCATGTCGAAAATACACCAAACTTCCTGCAATAAATCTCAGAACCTCTCTTGCTTAAGGCCTGAATTTGTTGGCAATTCTTATATATCACGTATTAGGTGTTACAAATTACATATGCTCTAGGAGGAAAGGTTTTGCTAACTCACATAAATACAACACTTCCAGCAACTGAACATATGTATATCCTTAAAATCTGAAACCCCTATTCAGCTCTGCTTATTTCCTTTATCAAAGCTGCATTTTTTATTATTATTTTTAAATAACTGCTGCTAGGCCTCACAACAAGATTCTCTTTCTGTTTTACTTCAAAGCCTTAGTTCTGATTTTTTTCCCCAATTAATATATTTCTAAATTCCAAAATTAATATGACAGGATTTTCATTAACTGAGGGCCTCCACAAAGCAAATATAGATGAGTTTTAACAATGGATCATCCCAGACTGGAGTCCCCCGAAAAAAAAAAAAAAAGAAAAAGAAAAAAGGTCTAACACTTTGTACCTCAGCTTGGAAAAAAATATGAACAGTATTGGAGAGCAATCCAGCATGTGTCAGCACTTACTTCTTGATCCTTTCTCCGAAGGAAGCCACTTCATCAAGGATATTCTGGACACTGACACACACCTCCTGGATGGCATAAAGTCTATTCATAAATCCTTTTTTTTCACTCTCCTACAGAAAAGAATAGGAGTAGTTGAACAAAAGAATTTCTGACTGTAGGAATAGGACCATGTGTTGATCAGTTAAGTTTCAAAAGTGCACGTGTTACAGATTTATCTAAAAGTAATTGGTAAAACCTGGCTATCAGAAATTGTTTTCTTCTGCTTTAAGCAGTGCATATTGACCATAAGTATGTTTTAGTATATATGCTGAGCACCACACAATTTTGTTTGTCATTGCATTAGTTTCTAAATATATATTTCAATAAGCCAGGTCTCTGGTTTATAAACATGTTGAAGGTGCCAACCTCATATGTTGTGTGCTCCCTCAAGTGCTAAGAGTCAAAAGGTGGAATAAGGGCATTTTGTCAATATGCTGGCTCTTGCATGGATGTAGGCACTAGGAAGATAAACATTCCTTGTGGGAGGCACTGAGTGAGAAACCAGAAACACTTCAGCTCCTACAGACATGCTCTCCTCCAGCTTGCAAGGCTCCACATGGGATTTCGCCTTTCCTGCTCCTTCAGACCACGTTGGGCCAGACCACAAGGATGAAACAGAAAATGCCAAAGTCATCTGGACATGATATGAAGATGTGCTGTTCTCCTGCTTAACTGGGACATCACAGGCATTTAACTTGGGAAAGATACACTCATATTTAGCATTTTGTACCACAGGCCACTATTTTATACATGGTTTTATGTATCTACTGCACACACGGCAACCCTGCCAGTCCTTTAACACATCCTCCGTGCTTCTTGTACTCCACCATCCATTAGCACTCCAGCGTTAGGACACCCCATACACCCACAGCACAGCCAGTGGCATCTGCCCCCAGCAAACCTGTGTACATCATTCAGTGGCAGGCAAGCCACTAAATATGTGTTTGTCAGATGTACCTGTGCCCCCCATCATCAACCCCTCTGCTCTGCCAGTGAGCACGTGTTCTCTCTCTCTCATTTTTCCTTACTAATATTCAAGTGCCACTACTCATTAAATATATGGGAGATGTAACTCCGACTGCCTTTACAATATGATTAGTGCAGCCTATGGCTCCAAAAGCATATAAAATGCCAGCCATGGACCAAATGAAAGATGCAGGGGAGGTGCCATTATAGGAAGTAATTTCATTACTTCCTTACTTACTCAGGTTTCTATACACTATTGGACTTTTATTCACAAAGCCATCAACTTATGGTAATGTAAAAGTTTAACCATAATTTCCTTTTTGTTAAATTTATCGAGTGTCTTTGTGCCCCTAAAAATGTGGGCTTTTTTTCCAAAACCAGAGTGACCATTTGTCCCTCAAAAGCAGAAACCACCCTCATTAAGACGTTTTCTGGGGTCTTTGATAGATTTGCCATCAGCGACTGTTGTCCTCCTTTCTGCCACCATGAACAGACTTTGCATCCTAGAAGAACCCAACATGGTGATGCGCAGGTACATCAATGCACTCCACAGACCATTCCTCAACTGGGCCTCCTCCTGCTCTGACGACCCTAGTCTTTTTTCCCCCAAAGCTTTCTATCTCTAAACCCAGACAGCCTGCAGCATCAAATCCATGCAGAGCTAACAGCACTCTCAAAAAAATGCTGTGTTAGACAGGATTAAAATGAAGCATTACCATGGAAAAAAATGACAATTTAGCTTATTTTTTTCCTAGACCACACATAAGTCAAAAGTTGATGTTCAACATTTCCAATGGATTGATGCCATATTACCCTATCTAGTTTGAATTTGATTAGTGTTGTCTCAAAATAAGAAATGGAGAGAAAAATATTTCAAGATTAGCAAAATATTTGATAAGAACAGTTGTTCGAAGATTTTGCCATCACAAACCACACAATACGTCTCTGTAATTGACTCCAAAGTCCTGCACCTAAGAAATTAGTATATGTTGTATTTCATTTTTGTTTTCTTCTCCTGATGCTTAATTAGCAGACAGTATATTGGTTCACTTATTTTGTTGTCATTTTTGCTGTCTTAATAAACCAGACTGGATGAGGAAAACATCATTTAGCATTTAATCATCTGAAGTTACTTCAGCAACACTGGTTCTGCAACTATGTTGTCAAGATTTCTTGTGAAGACTTTGGAAGTATTTAGCTACAGAACACAGATTGTCTAAAAATAAACAATCATGAGAGAGACAGAGAGACAGACAGACAGAGATGGCAAAACTACTTCCAGTGATTGAGTGTAATTTAAAAAAACCAAACACTTCAGAGACAGAAAAACCACCAGTTTCTCAGGCAATGTGAAAGAGCTTATGTACTCAGTCAAGATTAATAATTATTTATATCATGAAGAGATATCTTTGGGTTTTGAGGATGACCATAACCACAACCACTGATATGAACAACATCCAGTGCTGCACAGCAACACCAAGTCATTTGTGAAGTTATTTCCTTAATATTTATTACATTCTTGAAGCCTTGGCAATGACAGCATTATTGTCCCCAGGTATACAGCCTCAGAGGAGGTGCAGCATATATCCAGTGTGTTCCATTTGTCATCAGGAAAGAGATGCCTGCTCTATTCCTTCATGTAAAACACATACTTCCAGTACTGCAGAAACATGAAAATAATCTGTTTTCTCATACAGCAGAAGTGAACAATAAGCCATACAGAAATCACAGGTATTTTTCTGCTCTTCAAATATGTATACACTTTGCCTCTTCAGATTTGTTTAACAGATTCTGCCCTCTCTGTAAAGTTACCTTGATTTAAGTTGTGTGAGAAAAGAATTGTCACTCTAACAAAACCAGTACCCTTTGTGCTATCTCTAGAACTCAACTGCGATTACGTTCAGAGATCCTGAGGCTGTTTTTCTTTACAAATATTTTACAAGACAAACTTGTACCTTTTCTTGACAACACACCCATTTTAAATCATCCCCCTAGCCCCCACCCAAAAACCCCAAAAGACAGAAACAGACAAAGAATCACTATTTCCACCCCCCCGCCGCCCCAACCTCCCCCCGGCACCTTCTGAGCTTAAAGAAAATTTGTTGACATACTCCGAGGCAGGAATAGACAAAACAGCACAGGAAAGAGGAGGCGGTCAGTTCAGCTTTGCTTAAACTAATTCCACATGCCCCACAACTGTTAGCTATTTTTTATTTCCTGCTCTAAAGATTTGTGGAGAAAATAATCTGGGTTAGGGAAAAGCTGCACTTATTTTCTTCCAGCAAGATGCTGTGTTAGCAAATACAACATATGAGCCACCTTGAGTGAACCAAGGTTTTTAATAATCCATTTTTCAAACACTACTGGTATTTCCTTTCCAAAGAAAGATGGGCTGTGACTGGAATCAATTTCATCATTTGTATGGCTACAATTGCCAAGTTTCTGGAAATAATTGCCATTTAAATAGTAGATAAAATTTATTATACAAAGCTAACAACAGCTTTATTACTGTTTAATTTCCATTATTTGTTTGTTTGCAGTAGGCTTAAGGTATCTGAAAAGCAAGATGTTTGCTAGGGGATTGCTTTAAGCATAAACTGTGAAAGCGAAGTCAAATTGATGTTGATAGTCTGACTTGAATTTACAAAAGGGAATGAACCCAAAGTAAAGACTAAGACCACGTCCTCCTCCTCCTTCATAGGAAATTGTAGATTACAGATTGATACACTGCTTGGCCAATAGTAATACTTAACTCTTGTATACTGATTTTCAGCCATAAATATATTTTACATTTCGTGAAACCAAAGCAAAACAAAGTAAATGACTGGCTCTAGACTGTGTGGAGCTAATCCACATGAAACCTTGAATACAACCCATGTTGTCTGAGTCTATTCAGTGCACTATGCTTCCAATCCCATGACAAAATAGGGTCATTAAGGAAAGGATTATATGTCTAACCCCAAACCTCTCTCTTCTCTAGGTTAAAGTGCATTTATAAAACAAACATTTCAAAAGACAGGGAAAGTGGGATAAATAAATACACCAGACTCAAAAGTAAACTTTGATAAAGTTAATGGAATCAAGGCAGCAAAAAGAAGAGCTTTAAGTGAGAGGAGACATTTTTAGTACACAGAATAAAACTCTGAATATTTTATGGTGGATAACTGTCATATTAATAACTGCAAAGTCGGAGAGAAAGGCACAGATCATAAAAATGAAAATCATAGGAGAGTTTCAAGAATAGAAGTAAATTTTGGAATTTTTAGGAGATGCTGTCTGGGAAAGACAGAGGCTCCAGATGGATCTTCCAAAAACACCCCTTGTTGCCCAAGCTGGTGTGATGGAGCACCTCTGTATAAACCAAAGCAAGCGAGACAAAGCCAGACTAACTTGTGATAGGTACAGAGAGAGGATATGAAGCCACTGAGAACAACAGTGTGCACCCGGTATGCTGTGAGTGCCAGGGTCCTGTCACTTGCCACCAGAAGACACTCTGCTTGTGTCATGCCGGACTACCTGTGGCCACAAAAGCATAGGCCCACAGCTATTGGTGAGGAACCCCTCTAATCACCCCTTCACCTTTAGTAACAAACCCGTAAATCTCTACTACTTGAATAGAATACTACTTCCATGAGGAAACACTGCAGATTATTTCAACTAATAATTGGTGTCCCAAGCAGAGCCCATCCATAGGCCCCATGTTGTCCCCCGGCATGAGTCTCAGCCATGCGCAGGGCTACAACGCCCTGGTAGACCTCCCTTTGGAGACTAACGAAGTAGACCCAGAAGCGTCGGTAGGAAATGCATTAGCGCTTTACTGGCAGGATTCATCAGTACCTCCCAGGGAGTGCATGCAGACATCGATTGTTGAATACTGTCCTATGGTCTGGCCACTGCTCAAAAACCTGACACTGGGGATTAATGGCCTCAGCAATTACCTCCCAGACTCTAACCTCTGCTTTCTGGGAAGGTCACTAAGAAGAAGATAGTAAGCCAACGCTATTCCAGCTCTGGAGGCATTTGATCTCCTCCAGGTCTTCTGTACCCCTATCAAAAGGCTTCAGATCTGGTGATGGATACACGGGTAAGTAATTATTTTATCATTTGCTCAGGGAAATGGAAGAGGTCAGACAACTATGA